CTCAGCTTTCTAAAATAATGTGGTTAATCACAGTTCTTTCATGATTTAACAGGAGGGGGCAATTAATTTTTCACGTAGGGCCAGGTAGGTTTGGACAGCTTTTTTCCCTTAATAAATGAAATCATCATTTAAAAACTGCATTTTGTATTTACTTGCATTATCATTGTGTAATATTAAAATTTGTTTGATGATCTGAATCTTTTAAGTGTGACAAATATGCAAAAAAATTAAAAAAAAACAGGAAGGGGGCTAAAACCTTTTCACGGCACTGTATGTGAATATAATTATCACTAAATTAATTTGTGAAGGTTTTAGTATTGTTTTGAATGGAAATGTCATGTAGATTGAGTGGCAGTCTGGCCAGTGAGCCCCATAATTCTGCTGCTTGGTTTGTGTAACACCAATAATAAATATTCAATATGTATTTTTCTTTGACTGGATCTTTATCCCACAGATGTACTTCATAATGAACAATGAAAATATCTTCTGGCATTAAAATAATAGTACATTTTCAGAACTGATTACGGTATGTAAACCGAAAAAAAAAAAAGAAAAAAAAAAAACAAGGTCTGTGTGTGTGCACTGTATGAATATGGAGCTTAACAAACCAGTTCTACATACTTTGACAGGTGAAACAGAAACTTGTTTGTGTCTTTAGGACAACATATGTAAAAATGATAATCTGTCAAACCAGGCATTCATAGCTCTTTTTTTGTTTGTTTGTTTTAAGAAATAATGTGAATATATAAACAAATTTATTTGTTTAAATGAATTGAAAATGAATAATAAAAACAGTAATGTTTAAATACATCTCCAAAATAACATTCCATGCTTTGTTTCCCTTTGTGTGTTTTTTTTTCTTCACAATTGAATTAACACTCCAGTAACACACGTTCATGTCCCTGAGTGAAGGGCTGACATCTTTTTTTGTGTGAAAAACAACCTGTTTCGATGGTGAATGGAAGCACATCAGCTGCACATTTGAACAGACCAGCAAATGTTTTATATTCAGTCACATTATTCAGTTTCATTTCCTTCAGCGAGTTTCTCACTGCCCTGAGGGGACAGGAGGAAAAACTGAATAGATGACCTACTGAATATATTGCTCTTACATTTCTGGAGAAAGTTCAGACATGTCGAAGACTTTAAAGTATGTGTGTGTGTGACTGAAATGGGCAGCGAGGGAAGCCACTGTGGACCAGAGATGTTTGCGGTCTGACCTTCTTGGATGATACAAGCATGGCACACCCAAGTCTAAAGAGCTGCCATCAGCTACATGAACCCACAACTCTGTAAGAGCTAAAACAGCCACTACTTCCTCCCATTAATTAAAGTTTTTTTTGGGAAAACGATTTTGCAATTCCTCCATCATCAGAAGCAGGCATAACGCACAACATATTATCGTTCTTTCTTTGCACCGTGTAATTTAGTTTGCCCTCTATCACAATCTCTAATGCAGTGGTTCCCAACCTTGGTCCTGGAGGCACCCCAACACTGCATGTTTTAGATGTCTCCTTAATCAAACAAACCTGATTCAATTCATCAGCTCATTAGTAAAGACTCCAAGGCCTCAAATATGTGTGTCAGAAAAGACATACATCAATAGCATGCAGTGTTGGGGGTTCTTCAGGACCAGGATTAGGAACCACTGGTCTGTACTACAGTGTTCATGCCTAAAAGATACCTGTGGGGCAGCTCTTCCTCTGAATGATCCAAGTGATAACGTATGAAGAATCTCTCAGCGTCTTCTCTCTCGGCATCTGTCACGACACTCCCATTCAGGCAGGTCACTGATGGCAGTCTGCAGGCGGGAGCAATGAGATCTTCTCATCAACATTTCTACAACATTACTATCAGTTTCTAATGAGGTTAAAGTGCGAGTTCACCCAAAAATAAAAATTCACCAATTATTTTCTCTGTCATCACATTCATCCCTGGAATGACCTGCCCAACTCAATCCGAGCAGCTGAGTCCTTAGCCATCTTCAAGAAACGGCTAAAAACACATCTGTTCCATCTTTATTTGACCCTCTAGCACTTTCTATTCTATTTTAATTTTACTTTATCTATTTATCTTCTTTTTTTATATATATATATAAAAAAAACACTAGCTTTCTATTTTTTTCTATTCTATCTAGTTGTTTTTCTTTGTGTGCGTGTATAATATATATATATATATGTGTGTGTGTGTGTGTGTGTGTGTGTGTGTATATTGTCCTTATTTGTAAGTTGCTTTGGATAAAAGCGTCCGCTAAATTACTAAATGTAAATATAAATGTAAGATACATTGGACTTACTGGGCTATCATTAGACTGCGGCGCTCCGTGCTCGTGTAAGCCTGCAGTAGAGGAATGCCTTGCAACCTCACTTCTTCCAGTTTGGGCAGAAAGTTTAGCTTCTCAATGTCCTCCCATCGATTAAGCCCTGACTCACAAAAATTGTAAAAATGAAGTTTTTATTGGGTTTATGTAATTACACTGTACTAGAATAGTAATAATTAGACAATTACACACATACTATGATTATTTAGAAGCTTTCCCAGCAACTGTCACAAACACGATGATACCTGAGTTGTGCAGATTTATTCTTCGAAGGTTAGGGAAGAGCCGCTGAAGGATTTCTCCCGAGTCTTGAATGGAGCTCAGGTAGTTGTTGGCCATGACCAGTGTGTCCAGTGCAGGGAACATGGAGCCAAATTTTCGTACTTCACTCCACTCGTGGAGGCTGTTATCTGTGATGTGAAGCAGACGCACTGTGGGGAAGGGCATGGCGGCCGGTGTCACAGTGGTGTACTCATTAAGGCACAGGAACAGCTCCTCTAGTCTGGACAAAACAGATCAATATTAGTGGAGAGCTGTCATACCAGAGGCACCTTCATAAAGTCTGATGGTTCACTTTAAAGCAAGAAAAGAGCTGTTCTCACTGGCCATAATGTTATCTGAAAGCCATTGAATGAATTCAGAGTGAATTCTCTCAAACATCATTTATAGCGCAATACAGTAACAAGGTAAAGTGAATGATCCCATGAGAATCAACAGTGTCATGATGATGGTACAAAGAAAATAAATGATAACTGAATAATTTATGCAAGACATATGCAAGATTGCATGTACACAGCCATTAAAATACTCTGCATGTGAAAAAAATATATAAAATCAATACCATGTCTCAAAAATCTGGCCAGAGCAATCAATACCACACATGTACACAACTAGTAACTGTTACACATAATATCAGTCTATATTTTTTCAAAACTACAAAAACCTCAAGAGTTTAAAATGCGACTCACTCAGGCATCTCTTGTGTGAATGTGTGCACTGTGTCCCAGGACACCTGGGTATTGTTAAGAACGAGGCGGCGGATGCTAGAAAAGGCCTTTGCGCAGTCCGGCTCCAAGACTGCATCATTCAGCTGATTAGAGCTGAGGTTCAAGAACTCCAGGTTCGGGATGTTAGAAACAATCTTGCTGATCTAGAATAGATTAAAGGGTTAAAAGACACATTTTAGGGACATAAAAATGTATAATATACATACACACACACATACATATATGAACAGAATTAATTTAAAATAGAAACTTCTATAACATTATGAATGCCATTACTGTCACTTTTGATCAATTTAATGTGTCCTTGCTGAATAAAGGTACATTTGTCTTTAAAAAAAAATCTTACTGACCCCAAATCTTTGAACAGTAGTGTATGTTTATTTATTAATACTACTGTATATTTACAGATCATAAAATCAGTCATTTCAGTCAGTTTCTCACATAAAGCAATACAGCGCATGAGTCATATGGACTATTTTTATGGTGCTTTTTCTGTATTTTTATTTCGAGCTTGACAGCCTCTTCGCTTTGAATTGCTGTTTTACAACATAAGGTTGTTTAGCAATTCTTTAAAAATTTCTCCTTTTGTGTTCCAGAAAAAAGTATAACAGCATATGAAATTGGATGAAAATGAAAGTGTGGATCCTCCGATCCTCAGACTAACTAACTCACCTCATGCCAGTCTTGGAGCTTGTTATGGGACAGATCAAGTTCAACTACATGAGCACAGAAGGCAGTGATTTCTCCCTCTTCTCCTGCATGACTGATTCCACAGCCATTCAAAACCAGAACACTGGGCAGGTTCAGACGGTCTGAAGGCAGAATGACCACATAACTAATGAAACACAACAACAGCTTACAGCTGCCAAAGTAAACGCTAAAATCACCAAGGAACATTACATGACTTGTTTTTAACTAACCCAAGCCTCACCTTTCATAGGTGATCCCTGATGTTCAGACGGCACAACCACGACACCCATGCCTGGACCCCGACGGCAAGGGAAGTTTTCCGGGCTGTACTTCTCACTGATCGCCTGCATAAAGGTGCGGCCTTCTGTCTCAGAAGCTTCCATTGCACCGGCCAACACCGTGCACCTTATGCAACTGTAGATACATAGTTATCAAAACGTTTATAGAGACAAAGTGTGTCATTAAACAATATTAAATAGTTGCTAGTTAAATGTGCAGAAATAACCAAGCCATTCGTAGGTCGATTTCCCAAAATGCTGTTTGAGGAGTCATACATAGCTCAGTCAATGGCGTGAGTTTGAGGTGGGACTGTCTGTTTGTCTGAATGATCCCGAACTAGACTTACTTTGTCATGAAATAGTCAAATTATCTGATATTTGAAGAGGCTTACTGACCTTGACATAGAGCCATGTTCTATAAATCACTTCCTCATTGTACCACATGACTTTCAGTCTTTTATTAATCTTACATAATACTGGTTTTGCTTGAACTATTATTATATATATACACACTTAACTAATACATACTGTAAATATATAAGTATTTACAGCATTTATTAGTTACAGTATGGGTGCCTCCATCATCCATCATTTATTAAAAAAGTGTGTCATGCCATGACCCATGTGTCAGACAACCTCAAGCAGTTCAGTTAAACATATAATGAGAAGCTGCAGCCCTCTGGGCTAAAAGTTCCATTTTTAAACAGAACTGGCCTAGATTTAACCATCTGCTGAATAAAGTCATGTTCTTGCCGACTTTACTGAGAATAGCATTTACTGTCTTATAACAAAAATAAGTTAATCCACTAATGAATAAGCATATTGAATACGCTTTTCCTTGATTAACCGATATGTATATGAGAAGCAAGAATATTAAATGCTCTCACCTGCTGCGCAATTTGTCCTCACAGGTCCAAAGACACAGCTGTGCCATAAAATAAGGTTTACTTTTACTACAAAAGTTATTTGTCCTTTGAGTGTCAGGGCTCAAACGGAAAATGTGGCTGCAAACCAGCAAAGAGACTGGGCTCTGCTCAGCGTCCTCACGGCACTTCTCAGAGATAACAGCACTCTGCAGAAAGAAGACACCAGGTCAGCAAGAAGGACAGATGACCAATTCACCTTCAGCTGTAACTACACTAATCTGCCTCAACAAACCAACACACTCAATATGCATATGAAAAACCTTAATGTTGTTACAACTCAGAGCAGGTTTACAGGCTCCTAAGGAAAACACACGAAAAAGAGACCAACACCATGTAAACACTCTTTCGACAGCTGTGCATATAAAAGTACTAAAAGAACAATAGCTGACTTGTTAAACAAAAAGTTGCCAATACAATACACTGCCTAAAGCAGTTTCATTAAAGTCTAGCGTTTTGAGTACCAACTTACAAAAAAAAGAGCTGATGTCTTTACATTTTACAGCATGTTGCACATTTAATACGAATTAAGAAATACCTATTAAATAAAAATTATATCAAATAGTAGCTGTAGAGCAAAAGCAGTACAAAAATGGCTGAAATTAAAGAATAAAAACTATGAAAAATGACTTTTTATGGATGACGATTAGATATGTATTAAATTATACAGGCAACTGCAATAAATTAGTTGATATTTTGTAATTTACAGAATATCTGTTTACATTTTAACATACAGAAATAACTTTCAAAGAGACAATGCTTGAACTACAAAACTAGCACACACATACACAAACACACAATTTGTTTTTTCACAATTTGTTGGTTTCTATGGTTCTCCATATTCATAATGTTTTTATACTGTACAGACTGCATTTTCTATCGCCCTGCACCAACCCTACCCCTCACAGAAAACTTTGTGCATTTTTAGATTTTCAAAAAAATTAGATTTTTTTTATCCTTTTGAATTACAAGGACACCGGAAGTGTCCTCATAAATCACCCTCACATTGCAATACCGGTCATATCCATGCCATTATACAAATTTGTGTCCTCATAAACCACATAAACATGTATACACATACACACACACATATAATAATATTTCATTGCAAATCTACCCAACACTACCCACAACCACATAACGTACTGTACATGAGTATAACCAGCATTCGTACATTTTCAAACAAGGAACCTTTTACAAGCCACCACATGACAATTACGTAATGATAAATTGATAAAGGTTAGTGCTTTTATAATATACCAGGGCATACTAAATCAGTGCCAGATGAATTTCCCTTGAGCTACTGCACGAAGATTCATATATTAAAGCTGACAGAACCAGTCACCAAAACAGACGACTAAATGTTAGAAGACACGAAACGAGAATGTATCTTTGTAAGTCAACACCTGAGAATGATCATACTTCAGCTAATATTTAGCTAGCTTGAGCCGAAAACATCCCTCCATCATCATAAAGTGTCTTACACTGAATGAGCAGCTCCTCAGTGAGACGCGGGACAGGACGCTGTAATCCAAACCAACTCCTAACCGTCAGTTTATCCACGTCGTGTCATTTGAAGACTCGCACTTTGATCGCCAAACTGTTCCTCGTCGCTTTTGTTATTGTTGATAAATCTGTCACGGAAGTGGCGTCACTCCAGCTGGGTGCTCTTGATTGGCCCGTTCAGTTGTGCTGTCTGAGCGCCCTCGCTGGCGGAGCGGAGAACAACAGGCATTTAATAAAAGGCATTTTTTTCTGGATTTAAAATACCTCGCGATTCAGGTTGTACATCTACATTTATAGATCAAGTAGTTTCCATTAGTTTTTAAAAAATAATATTTACAGCATGAATTAAGAACGCAAAAGATGATCAGAAGAGATGAGACTGACTGAGGAGGAGTCAGTTAAGCATCACTGATCATGGCAGAATAGTAAGGGACAGAAATATCTTTGATTACAGACCAAATATTGCAAACCGTAGTGCTGATTCAGAGATCTTTCAGATTGCCTAATGCCTCCCTCTAGTGGTGGGAAAACTTCTCACAGGGACATTACTTCTGGCTACTTTGAGGAAAGCTGTTGCAGATGGATCAGTGTTGTTAAAGCTGCAGTACATAACTTTTTTTGGGTTAAAGGGGTCATATGATGTGATTTCAATTTTTCCTTTCTCTTTGGAGTGTTACAAGCTCTTGGTACATAAAGAAGATCTGTAAAGTTGCAAAGACTAAAGTCTCAAATCCAAAGAGATATTCTTTATAAAAGTTAAGGGTCAACCACGCCTACCTAAAACGGCCCGTTCTAACACGCCCCCACATGTCTATGTCACAATGTGGGAAGATTTGCATAACGCCGCCCAAATGTTCACGCAAAGAAAGAAGGCGTAACTTTTTATTCTCGCTGTAGTATTGCTGTAGTACTGGAGGCGGACGCACTAACAAGGAGGCTAAAGATTGCAGGCACTAGCGTCAGTCCCCTGAGATCAGGGGAGTGAGGTTTACCTGCACAGCACCTACTCGCTGGCCTCCGTTAAACTCACCCCCCTAAGACTCACTCCCATCCGGGTCACGGCACCAATGTAACCCCTCTCTCCCCGGTCCTCACCGCCACACCTCGTTCTTGTTCCGAGTGGGTCTCGAACCCGGGTCTCCGGCATGGGCGTCGGACGCACAAACAAGGAGGCTAAAGACTGCAGGCACTAGCGTCAGTACCCTGCATCATTACGTCACGTCTGTAAACATAAAGAAGTTGTCCCGGCTATCTCATGTGAGGATTCTGCAGGTGGCCGATCGTTTATAGCCTTTTCTCGCAGCAGCTGGAATAATTAAATATATCATTTTGATGGCGGGATTATAATCCAGAAAGGTTTATGTGTTTATGAAACACATGTGAATGAAATTAAATTATATTCCAGTTTTAAATGTGCTTCTGATTACAGATAACCTGGGATTACACAAGATTTATATTTTAAAGACAAGCATTTAGTTGATCCTGATAAGCGATCGTCGTCACAGTTGTAAACACGGCGGCTTTCTTCTTTCGTGAGGAGGTTTAGCATCACGTTAAAGAACGCCACACACACGTCTCCCGGAAATCCTGTATAATTCAACCAATCCGATGCCGACTTCGAAACTCCTGAAGTGTTTCCACTTTTGTGTGCCATATGCATCAGACATTCAGCCAACGGTCCGTGGGCGTGAGGTCTGAGGCTGAGACAACGCTGGAGCACAACCCACGCAAGGAAGATAATTCTGCAGACAGCTGCAATTGCAGGTTTTCAAACAGAGATGGCGACAAAGAGGCAAAACTTACGGACTGCAGCTTCAATGTTAACTAGTCTAAAACGAAATTTAAATAAAATAAAAAATAGATATTAAATAAAAAAAAACTTTTAATTTTTTTAAATACAAAAAAAAACACGAAAATCAGAAAAGTAAAAGAAACTGTAATAAAATAAGAAAAGAAACTGTAATAAAATAAATAAAAGCTAAATAGAATTAAAAATTAATAAAATGTAAAAAGTACATAATTAAATTATTAATACTACCTCAATTAAATTGAAAATGGAACATAAAAATGTTAATTCAAAATATTAAGAAATATTATAATAGTAAATAAACAATCCTAAAATAACACGTATATGGACATAACTTTTTTTTTTTTTATGGACATATGTGTCTCAAAACTTTTAAAGTTTACTCTAGCATGACCTTATTACTATCATTATTATATATGAGGCTATGTATATGAGCATATTAATTAATATGAGGACAAGGACGTTAATTTAAATTTTTTTTTTTTTGAAAGATGTGGAAATCATCTAAAAGAACACAGATGGGCCACTTTTACAAGACTTTTCAGAATGATAAATTGTACTTGCTCTTTTCATAAAGTCTCAGAGATTGATATACAATAATCAAAGCATTTATATTTGCTGCGAAGAGACAATGTTATTGCATATTAACAAGCATAATATTTTTCTAAATTTATAAAGCCCATAAATGAGTAAAATGAGCTTACGTACATGTACGGCAATGTATATATATATGAAACTCTAGATGGCACAGTCCGATAGGTCACTCAATCTGACATAATGACATCATCACATGGCGCAGCTGATTGGTCCTTTTTGTATCAGCAGCCAATAAGCTAGCTGCTCAACATTCAAATACTTGGCTAGTGCTTGCTGTAGCAGTTGCAGCAAACTTCAGAACCCCCTACCTTACCCAGCTCCACCTGTATAGCTCTGCTACGAGGTGATTCATGTATGCTATATCGGGGTTATTTCATATGTTATATGTGCAGCAGCAGTATTTCTTACATGCTCACAGCAGCATGTTGTGGATGTAATTGGCAAAAGCAATTCTCGGTACTTGCTCTGCTAAAGCAGCAGCAGCAGCATAGCAGATCTATTCCATCAAGACCAAACACATTAACATTGTCATGTACATTACCATGCCAATCCCTCCGAGAGTTGTCATGACAGAAAAAAATATTCATAATTATTTATGCTAATCCAATATAATAGCGCAGAGTAACATATTGAATTGGTGTGAAGACATCTGTTGTCTCTTCTGTGGTATCCTTCCTCAGGCACAGTGATTAAAGTATTCTGCTTCAGACCGCTCACCTGCAAACAAAATTGAAAAAAGCTGCAATGGTGCCAAGACTTAAACGTCTAGAAATAATTAAGTGCTGAGTAATTTAGACTTACTGGTCTGGTAGTAATCATAGATTTTTACAACCGCTGGCTTGAGGTTTTTAACTGAGAAGATTTGTTTAGTACGTAGTGTTTGGCAGAAGAGCATGTACTTTTGAACCTGTAAAACATATAAAACTCAAATTACATTAGATTAATCAGTGCTATGATATTGTACAGCATTTTTGCTATATTATATAAGGTTTCAAAACAGATTTTATAGTTAATTATTTTAAATCACACTGGTTGTCATTATAAACCATACATGTTATCATTCCCACCTCTTGAAGATACATGATCACGTGGTCATCTTTGGATTCAACACGATGTACTGATTTCTTTAACTGTGGAAAAACATTTTTGGTGCAAACTAAAATATTAGAAAAGATTTGGGGAAATGTGCAGCATTTACTGTCATGGATGCTGAATTAAACGGCCTTACCGCATCCAGGGAAGAGGGCTCTAGTTTGAAACCAGATAAGAGTTTCATATCTACAATGACCATGTTAGAACTGTCTTGTGTCCCAGTATACCTGAACGGATAACAAAACATATAAAAATATAGAATATTTGCAATAATCAAGTAAAGAATTAAATCTTAACACTGAAGGTGTAAATCAGAATCTGCTCTTACATAATATCTAATACGACATTCAGAATTTGTCCTGACCCGCTCTGACACAGTCCCCCAGTCCTAGCAAAGATTTGTAATGCCTTAGAATCCTTGGGAGTGGGGATATTGTAGAAAAGAGACATCTAGAAGAGAGTCACATTAGGACATTAGGATTAGAACATTAGGACATCTCTTTAAGCTATCATCATAATGTGGTTCAGCAATCATGTGTTTGATTTGAGTAGTTTGAGTCACCTGTGTGGAGGAGAATCCTCCATAGGCATTCTGCTGCTTCACAAGCCAGCTGACAATCCTGTTAGCAAAGCCCAGATCAGCTGAAGTGAGTGAATCTGCAGTGAGAGCAGCTAGCAGCACATATGAGCTGATCTCCACTGCCAGAGAATCAGAGTCATCAGCAGATGCAGACTGAGACCAGTGGAGATGAGACCCTTTAGGACACATGGACAAAATAGATACCAGTAACTCAACAAGCAAAAACAAAACAAAAAAAACATTACAGTCATAAAAGACAACCGAAAGTAGCCAGAAACAAATCTCTTACCATCTGAAATAGCAGCATCCTCCAGTTTCCTGAAAAGCTGCTGTCGAGTGTGCTTGTCTCTAGCCAGACTGAAAGTGTAGGCGAGCAGAGCAGTGGTGTAAGTATTTCGGATATCGCCAACAAAACGCTTTAAGTATGACAGACCTTTGCTCACAGCAGGATCCTACAACAGAAACAGTGCATGTGACAAATATATAAGAGCCTTATAAAATAGTACAGTTTGTGCTTGACAACATGTAGACCGTACTGACCATAACTGATGTGTTCAGCTCGAGTAGTGATGCAGTTATATAGGCAGTGATGGTCACACCATCACTTACACCCCCCTAAAATACACAGATAGCAAATAAAGGCATCTATTACGAAAATGTTCATTTTTAAATAAGCAATTTTGACTTCTTATAACAAGACAAATGAAATTGAGAACCAAAATTGCTGAAGTCATTAAGACTTATTTTCAGACAATATATTTAATTATTCTATATTATTTTTTATTTTTTTCCTTTCATCATTTTAAGCTGTGTGCACTGAATTTATTTAATACACGAGTTTCACAATTTGAGTTGAATTACTGAAATAAATGAACTTTTCCACGACATTCTAATTTATTGAGATGCACCTGTACACATTTTGCTTCATTATACCAACAATTTACAAATGGAATAACAATTTACAAATGTTAACAATTTTGTACCTAAAATAAATATATCTTGTTTTAGAAATGTTATGTAATTAATGTAGATATTTATAGTGGAAAACTGATTAAGTTCACTGATTTATATAAATATTTGTAATACCTTGTAATATTTTTTACCTTCATTCTGTTATTCAAGAGTTTTCCCCTGCTCTCATATAAACCATCTGGTCTTTGGTGGTGTATCAGCCATTGCTTTGAATTCTGAATTTTTTGGGGGTCAATAAAGATGTAACGCTGTGCTTTCCCAAAAGTCCTCAGCACAAATGCGGTCAGCCTGTTAATTGAATTCAATTTAATAC